TTCCTGTGAGACGACAGCGCTAACCACAGCACCAGTGTGCCGCCCACTGTCCAGTTAGAGTTGGGCAATTTGACGAGATGGGCTGTGAGCACTTAGAAATTTGTCCTCCTTCAACTGAGACTTTGCTAAACTCTTTACACAATGGAATATATTTATATCTCTGGTTGTTTTAGGCCATAGTGGAAATTATCACACTGCATGTACCATGAAGGAAGATTTTGTCCATATTGCACACTCCTCCTGTCAGTTGTATACATTTCAAAAACATTTTGACCAGAGAATTGTTTTCCCTGCTTGAATGTTCGTATGTGTATGCAGCAAATAATAGGAGAAAGAAAACAGCTCGCAACTGTTAACCAAAGCCTGTAGTCATAAATAGATTAGTGGTGGCACTGGTTTTGAGAATGCAGAATTGCAACATTTCAACATTATCTTTTCAACTTTATCTAAAGATCATCATTCTTCGTCATACACAGATACAGCGGTTAAGTATTCTTTCAAGAAAAGCCAGACAACTCAGCTTCCCTAAACCTTTTTTTGTAACAACTACTTTTCTATCTGTACACTCAGTAGAGTGAGATCAAATCTTCCTCAAAAGGTAGACTTTTACTCCCAGAAATCTTTGAGGAATGAGGTCAGTTGCCATGGTTGTAAGACAACATCAATCATTCCTCGTTAAATTCTCATAAAATGTGCACTTACAACAGTAGAGCTTTTGTCTGTGTTGCAACAAAGAGAAGGTTCAGACAAGTTGGAGCTGGTTTGTGCGTACATGTTGACAGGACGCTGGGGAGTCTTCACCCAGCTGATTCTGTAACAGGGTCAGGGGTTAATTCCTGTCTGGAGAAGCTTGACTAGAGTTTCTTGGTTAAGGTTAGGAAAAAGTCGAGGTTTGGGTTAAAATGAATTATTTTAGGCAAACTACTTCCATGTGCAGGTTATTCTCAAAGACTATTTAGTTAAGGATATAAAGGTTGCAGTTATCCTCTCACAGTGAGCTTTCACAGCTTTTAAATGACACCTGGCCTTCAACCACGTGTGCTCGCAGGCATTTTAACTCTTTTTAAAGACAGCCAAAAGGTTGTGTTGGGGTCAAAGGTTACAGAGTGCAGCAGTCACTTTTCCCCTTCATGGAAAGCTGTGAAGCCTAGCGTTGTTTTTTGTTCACTTTATTTGGCTTTAAAGCTCAGGTGCTGACAGGGCAGTGCAGCAAGATCACGGGCAAACCCTTTGGAAAACAAATCTGCGGAAGGTTGTCTTTCATATTGTACCAAGATCCTTTGATCCTATGTGAAACTGAAGCTGACAGCAGTTCTTTCTGTGTTAGACCTCTGTGTGCTGAGTTTTAAGCAGTGAGAGCAAAATACATTTAAACCACTTTTATTAGTCTTGCTACAAAAATTACATAAATACCATTTTCACCAACAGTATCCTCAGTAGACTACAATGCAAGATATATTGTTATTTTTTAAGCTGGATTCATAGAAATGCAACTGTTTTATCTGCACTGGATTTAGTCTCCTCCTTGTATGATTCATGATTGTATTTCCTTTTTTTTTTGTTCAAGTGTAACTGGTGTGCTGTCTTTTCCAGCTCAAGGGACTTCCTGGTTAGATAAAAGTTAAAAAAACAACAAATAAAAACAGGGTAATTGCATAGCTACAACTGACATGCATCTCCAGCTAGGCTGCTCATGTTTTCTTCTACAAGTTGCCGTTGCTGCTAAAAAACACTGATTGCAGACATCAGTCAAGTCCTTTTCTCAGTAACACTGAGAAATCTGGCAAAACCACCGAGTGAATACTTGACACAGCCTGATACTGCTGGGTATATCTGTCTACTGTACTGAAATCCTATAAATCGGTTCACATGCTGGAGGCATCTACTGCAGGACTGTAACACTTGATGTCTCAGCATTAATCCAGGGAAAGAGTTGTTGATGCTGTTGCCTGTTAACTCTCTCTCACCTACATGTATCGGCATGATCAGACTAAGGTGCGATTTTAATTCCCACGTGGCCTCATTTCATTGAAAGCAACAAGCTCATGCATGTTCCTTCTAGGATGCTGAGAGGCATTTCAGGGAAAAATAGGATATCTAGATACACAGCATGTGCATTAAAAAATAAATTCTAATATTTATAATACATTGAATGTTTTTCATTATTTGATTTTACCCAGAAGGGCCTAAGTATGGAGGGGATCCTGCGTTTGGTCGTGTGTGCGTGTGTCCATGAGTGAGGAAGTGTATCTGCAGATAATCTTGCAAACTACTGGACCAACCAGCCTAATTTTTTGTGTGTACATTTAAGATCATATTCTGAGGCATTTTTCGTCTGTTCTTGATCTGTTTTATACGATCATTGACTGCTGACTCCTTATTTCTTCTAACCAGCCCCCACTTACCCCAATGAACAAAACCGAAGCCAAAATATCCCGGTTATGGCTGCTGCTATCTTGCACTGATGGCGTCATTTGGAGCCAGAGTCTGTGCAGTAGCAATCTCCCCAGTGTTTAGTTCCCACCCCAATATCTCTCTGTCCAATCACGAGCAGCGCCGTTGATTGTGATTGACACAGCTGTCAATCATAACGCCAAACCCACTTTTTGTAGCATCAAATAACTAATTAAAACCAAACTTGTCAGAAAAACAAACACTTGAACATACAGCTTTATTACCTGCGAGCGGCGAGCTTTATTACCTGCACTGCAGCCAGTCACCAGAGGGCAATTAAGATTTAACAGTCTATGGTTGCAGGCAACATTTTGGCCTTTGTTGTTGTGGTAGTTTGGTCTCATTTGGACCCAGAGCATCTAAAGATTAATTCCATACCTGGTGTGTTATGAAGTTAAGCATGATAGAAGATGAATTAGTCCCCGTGTTTGTTATATTTGCCACCATCTTAACTGTAAGGGAGAAGGACGGACAATTCCATCAGACGCAGCTCTTCACAGACTGCCTGCAACCTTGTTTTGTTCCATCTGCTGCCAGAGTTGCCATGTCTGCTTATTATGAGCAACTTTAGGCTTGTTTTTCTATAAAGTCGCTTACAAATATTGGTAGGTGTGGGTTGTGTTTTTCTGGGCTTGTGTAGTGTAGTTGCTTTTTTGGGCTTGCTCCCTATATGTCTCCTGTCTCTCTCCCCTATTCCTGTTGCAGGAGTCGTCCAAAACCTTGTTCCCTCTACCCCTCCCCTTCCCCCATAAACACAGGTAACTGACAGTCAGTGATTGACATTCGTATGCATAATTATATCATATCTTGTGAAACATGCCGCAGCGTGTCTGCTGGAATTACAAGAATTGTCTAGAGTGGCCACAGTCAGCTCGGGCAGCTAGAACGTGACCACCTGAAAGAGATCTGCACTCTTCTGAGTGCACTTTTCTACTCTTTAGTTTTCTTTTTCTTTGTCTTCCCCCTTTCCCTGTTTATACCTGCTGTTATTTTTTCCCTCTTCCCACTGTTTTTAATCTAATGCTATTAGATAATGTAAATATCATCATGAGGTTTGAGTAGCTCCAGTGAAGCATGCAATCAAGTGTTCCACCTATTTTATCAAGCATAAACTTAAAGCTGTTGAAGTTCACATCAGGTAAGGCGTGGTCATTTCATCCCACAGCTTAGTCTGCACAACGAATGTAAACAAGGTCGAATGATTACCTACAAGCCCTCTGAATCCACTGTTCTAACTCTGCGCATTCAGAGTTTGAAAGCATATCCACATACTGTACATTGAATTATTTAACCTGACTTCTCAAAGTAATCTGCTGTGTCTGTTTCTACACCAAACCACTGCTATGTGAAAGCTGGGTGTTCATCTCCATGTTAGTCAGAGTATTTTCCTCAGACAGTAAGTGCACCGGTCAGTCATCAACCACACAGCATCACTTCAAAGTCTTGGCACATTTTAATACAGACGCTGCAAACACCACATAACAGTAATTAATGTCAACTGAAAGTCCTTCTGCCAGGTTTCCTGGAAAACTAATCAAGCTCTGCCCCCTTGTGGGGAAACACTGCATTGCAATAACTGGTGACTGGCTGAGGGAATATGCTGCTGCATATGGGAACTACTGCAAAATTAGTGCCACAGGTGGCAATGATATGCTGTTGTGTTACTTTTATGTGTTGACAAACAATATGTTGAGGCCCTCGATTAATGTCCTCTCACTTCTGATGTTTGGATATGTTGCACTATGGGAAAATGAATGACATCACACCTGGAGGCTGCTGTATTTGTGCAGCTGAACCCATGATTATGTCACATGGCAGTACTTTCTTGTCAAAACAGTACAGCATACCTTTAAGTACAAATTTAGCACATGCATTGTTTAAATAAGGTGGAATGCTGTCTGTCCTTCTGTCAGTGTATCAGACCGCTCACTGCTTGGAGGACTCTACGGTTCCAGACTGGGTGTGATTCGACTATAAATACTTTGAGGCAGCTGACTATCTTCAGCTGCAGGAAGGCCACTCCTCTTGAAATAGGTGCACCTCCTCATGCCTCACACGTGTTCTAGAATCCTCGACGGCTCTCTAATTGCTCAGCGTGCCGTGTTTTGGCTGCTTGGGAGTGAATGTTGTCCGTCAAGTGTCATATTGTTTGTTTCCAGCTCTGTTTTCCAAGTCAACGCAAAGACACAAAGAAAGCGTCACTGCTGTTTAAAACAATTAGAGGTGCCAGTGCACCTAACTGTGGACAGACCATCCTATGTGTAACTTTTTGGAGTAAACCAAAAGAGCATCTTATGTTTAAAATGGTATGTTCAGGCACTCATGGGCAAAAAATTCTCCCCCAAAAGATATTCTACTCTCAGTATTGTTTAATCATAAATTTGTTATTAAAAAGTCAGTACAACTCTCATAAGTTGACAAGGAGTTTGATGAGGACATGATACTGTAAAACATAAGTACTGTACACTGGGAAGGGAAACAAAGGCCAGTGACATAACACCCACCCCCCTCTCCCTCTCTCTCCGTTTCCTTCCTCTCTCCAACAGGAGCTATGACCAGATCAGTGTTTCCACAGAGTGCAGTTACCAGACTGTATCGGACTGGTACACTCAATCTGAGTCCACCTCCATGATCAGCTTTGACATGACTCAGCCACACAGCCCATCTTCACCTTCCAAATTCTTCAAGGTTGGTTTTATTAACACAGTTTCATGTTTATTATCAGCGTTGGACTAACAACTCGAGATGTTACAGACTGGTCTGTGTGTGTGTATGTGTGTGTGTGTGAGTGTGTGTTTGTGTGTGTGTGTGTGTGTGTATTTGAGTGTGTGCACTTTTCAAAAGTACAGTACCTGCAGTATAACATGCTTCAAAACCAGTACTTGTTTCTTGATAAAAGCATTGATTCTGAGGATCACATGTCTCAATACTTATTTCAATAGTTTATATGTTCACCAAAAAAGTAATAATGTTTTTGTTGTGTTACAAAATCTCTAGTAGGATTCATACTGACAGCCAGCAGTACTTCCTGAGCTTCATCTCCACCCTCACACTTTTGTATAAAACAGAAACAAAGACTATAAAATCAGACTTAAATCAAAAATAGGAACAACAGTAACAAAAGTGACAAGACAAGAAATAAGTATGTGTTGTTGTTGGTGCATACTGAGTATATTTAACTTATGCTTAGAGTTACTGTTTTTCTACTTTTGGCATGTGTTACTTTCCTAGAGCCATGTTCCTTCAAGGTGGAATGTGAAGTGTTTACTCAAGTCCTGTACTCAAGTACAATTTTAAGGTACTTGTACTGTACTAGAGTATTTCCATGTTATACTATATTATACTTTTATTTCACATCATTTCAGACAGAAATATTCTACCTTTTACTCTGCATCCAACAGCTGTTGTTAGGTTTTAACATGTGATGCACTGTTACATAACAAACGGTGTGTAAGATAGTTTACATTATCTCCATCTTAACCAACAAGTAAATGCTACTTTCACATTAATGCATCAGCAATAATAATTCAATGATATAATAAATAGTAGTATAACACTCGGAGGGGTAACTTTTCTGCGTTTTAAGTACTTTTACATGATACTTTAAGTACATTTAGCTAATAATACTTAAGCACTTTTACTTGAAATGTGAAATGTTCAACACAAGGTAAAGACTCTAAATACTTAATCACTGAAATAATAAACTAGTATTTTAATTTTGGGCAAGCCTCTTTATTATGCTGTTACTGTTTGCTCTGCTCATTAATATACATACTGATAAATTGATTAGCAAGTACAAGAATGCAGGATTGTAACTTCACTACAGTTAGTAATTGTTAGCATGCTAACAGGCTAATCTAATAGCCTCCACTCGATTGAGTGTAATTTAACACAGAAAGGTATGAGCTGCACAACTGCATGACATCACCAATTTCCGACTTTCTCTTATCCCTGCCTGCAGGTGACAGCGGTAAGTGTAAAATTGCCTGTAATAGCTGATTGAAATTAGATACTTAGGGAGTATAAAGATGCACTTCCCCTTTAAGATAAGATGCACATAATCCTATGGGATGGTATTGTCCCTGAGCTATTTCCATTGACTCAAACCTGTCAGACCTGCTCTCACTAATATTTGTGTCTGTTGGAGTCGTTAGGAAGTGATGCTGGAGTATGTTCACTTGCGTAAATACGACAGACTTGAATTCCTGAAAACTTTTAATAGAGAAAAAACAGTAAGATTATTTTTAGACTTTCTAAAAACATTACTTTGGTTTTTATAGTTTAAAAAAACAATACTCAGCTTTGTTGACACTGTGGCGTGGAGTCTGACAGATCCAGCCCCCTGCTGTAATTAAGCTCAACACTATTGTTCCTATGTTTGCCTTTATTGTGATTATCAGCTGCTGGGATCAGGGAATGAAGCAGAGCTTTGGCTGACAGATAAGGAAGTGAGCCATATTATGCAGAGATATGGCACTATATCTCCACCTACCTGACATTTGTCATTGCTATGAGTAAATACAAGAGGAATGCTTAGCGGAGGGTTAATAGTAGAAGCCTAGCTTAGACGGACGACAGGTAGTGAGACTTAAACATACACTGGACACAGGATACCTCATTTATGTTTTTTCTTTTTTAATTTACTCTGTTTCAACACGGTGGATTTGTGAATGAGTCAAAACGACCTGGAGGTACTGTATCACCACCTTGACTTCACAGCAAAGGAAAAACTATCTTTGATCTGAGTGACGCTATTCAGTTAGGTTCCTGTGTTTCATTCTATTTAGATATGAACAGGAAAACCCAGCCACAGGCTTTGTTCATTAGCTGCTGTTTGCTCAGTGAAATGATGTGAATGTTTGACAACAGTGGAAAGTGTGTCCAAACTGGTTTTTATAACAGAATACTTACTAAAAGTTCTCAAGAAATATCACATTTATCCCTCAGAGCAGTTAAGATAAATACAAATTGGACTGTGTTTACTTACTCACACAGCACTGGATCGTGGCACTTTGACCCATTCTACTGTATCTAAATGGTTCAGTGAGTCTGAACTGATATGAAGTGAATTCTTCTTAAATCAAGGCACAGCAGATAACACATGTCCTATTGATTTACCCAGCTTTAGAATGAGGAAGGGTGGGGTTTTCTCCAGCGGGTCTATCCACACCCTTATAGCTTCACTGGGTTGTGAATTCTTCTTTGCTTGTTTGACATGTGAACCATCTTTCACAATATCATTTTCACGCTGTAGCTGTGATGCAAATTGCCATGCCCCCGAGTCAGACACTTTGTTCAGAGCTGGGACATTTAACTGCAGTCACACACAAGTCACTGCAGCCAGTTCTGCTTGTCTGCTCATCAGAGAGGACTATTCCTGCTTTTAGTGTAATCTGCTAAGGACACTGGCTTTTATATTTAACTATACGAGCGCTTTTGGGACTACCTGGTTTAAGAAGCCTTCTATGGATCATAACCTCTTCGTCTTTCAATTGCTGTGTTTGAGATCTACACATTAATTAGACACAGAATACAACAGGACAGTTTAGACTCCAGGGAGTCGTAATGGTATGTAACTGCTGCTTTTTATCCTGTGGTCTATAACTGTTTTTTTACACTGTGGTTCATGCCTCTTGCCCTAACATGTGCTCTTTATACTTGGACTGCAGTTAGCCAGGTTTCGCAAGGTGTGTTTTGTGTCGGCACGGTGGCTTTTTTCCTTTGTATCAGGTTTTCTTGGCTGTGATAGAAATCCTATTAAAAATTTCCATGGCAGCACTAAAATGTGTTTTATAACTGACTACACAAACATTTGGAGATTGCTGCTACAGCCCCACACTGTCATGTGCTTTAGCATTAAAAAATAGTATACTCCCTCTCATTGATTATTAAGCTCTTTTTGGATCTAAGCCTGTCTTGTTCGGCGCCATTCTTTTACTGTTTATGTGCAGTAGCTGTGATAAGTGACCCTTGAACTGAGCATCAAAGAATTCCTACATGTGTCTAGTTAGTCATTAGTCATCTCACTCCCGCCTGATTGTTTTACCAGTGTGTTGTTATTTGCACCAAGGTGTCTGAATTTAACCTGCTCAGCTTGGCCTAGTTTTGAGCTGTTGTGCAGATTTGAAAAGGCTCTGTAACCTGTAGCACTTGCAGTAGGCTTTAAAAAAAGAGCCTTAAGATAAAGGACTTGTTAGTAACTTGTAGTAGTTTATTTTATACTTGACCTTATTATTGTCATCAAAAAGAAACAAACAATAAGGCAAGAAGGCAATATTTTTCATTTTTTGATACATAATGATTCAGTTCCGTGAGTTCGGATCACATGTTTGGTTTTCATAATGAAACTTAACTGTGGGAAACTTCCCTCCCTCATACCAGAACCCAGATCAACGTGCTTATCTTTGAGCTCGAATCTGCTGAATGTGAAGGGCTGTTGCTGAAACTACAAATTGTACTTCTGTATTTTTGTATGCCCGCCACCACAGACACAAAGAGTATCGAAGTAGATCGAGAGAGAGCCAGCCCTCGCTCGCTCTCTCTCTCAGAACAAACTGAGATCAAACGGTAAAACTAGCCAGTGCTGATCAACTATAAACCAAGATTCTGTCACTGTATTGCCTGTTCTCGCCTAAAATGTCTAATGAAACATATTTCAACTTACTGTTTAACTGTAATACCAGATCATTTGTTACTAGCTGGCCGCCATATTGTTTTCAAATGAGCAACTCGCTTTATGTCACCCACCAGTGGGAGCATTTATTAGTGCTTTGCAGTGCAGTGCATGGTGGTAGTTGTAGGTTTCGGAATGATACAGCTATTTTTTCTAATCATATGTGGCCAATTTCAAAAGTATTTGCTTCTTTCTATTGCCTATTCCTAATACGTATCTCCAGATATCATTACCTGGACAGGATTTGTGTGAAATTAAATTAAGTTTCAAAGCAGAAGTGCTTGAATTTTGAAGTAAATATATAGGAGTCATCTACAAATCTTCTGTTGGTATTTTATTCTACATCCAAAATAAGGGGCTTTCATTTCAAAATTCAATATTTCTTTTTTTTTTCTTTTTTGAAATTCTGTAAAAAACTAAAATAGATATGGTTTTTGCCACATTGTCTCAGACTTGGCGTGTTGAATTGTTGTGATCAGTATTGCATGTGTGTTTTCCATGCATCTTCTCTCCTATATTAAAACATCCATTTACAAACTCTCACACAGCTCGTGCAGTATATCACATTTATCCAGTCATATACTCAGTACTTCCCTAACACATGCATTTTCTCTAAAACCATGGTTTTAAAAACTGAACCGAAAGTGAAACTCATCTGTGCTCTCTTCAATGTCAGACTAAGGCTTTTTAGTAAGAATTGGATCTTACTGCATGAGGTCTGTGAGATTTTGTAAACAGATGTTTTAAATGTGGTCCCCAAAAAATCGATAAATCAGTATGTTGTTCACTGTTTCCCATGGAGGCATGCGAGAAAAACAGTTTTCTGTTTTCATTGTATTTCAGTGTGTGTGTGTGTGTGTGTGTGTGTGTGTGTGTGTGTCTATATGAACTGCAGTTCCTCAAAGGAAATGTATGTTGAATTATATCTGTTTTTCTATCCTTGATTTCAGCTTGTTATCTGTTGAGGAGCACACCTTTTTTATGTTTTGTTTTCTTTCTTTTTTTTGAAAGCCAGAGAGAAAAGGGTGTGCCAGCTGCTCTCTGCACATCAGTGTTTATCTTTCTGTCTGCTTTTTGTCTGTCCTCTTTCAGAGTTCGGAGGAGAACAGGGGAGTGCTCAGTCGCCTCAGCAATTTCTTGAGGTCCAAGAAAAAGAAGAACAGCAGTAAGCATCATTCAGACTCACTTTCCCCAACATCCCCCTTGTCTCCAAGTTCACCCCAGTCTCAACAGGAGGATGGGCCAAGGACTCCGACTCCTTCTCGAAGAGACAGTGAGCTAATGGGGCCTAATTATGGAGGCTCTTCCAGAATGGGAGCAGAGCTTGATGACAGACTCAGCCAAAACTCCAGTCCCAGTGCCTCGAGTGTGGTTTCTCTGCTGACAGATGGAGCAGAGCTACCGTTTGCAGACAGCAACAGCAGCGGCCGAAGCAGCGTGAGGGAGGTGCACGTGTGCAGGGTCAGCACAGCCAGCAGTGAAAGGAATTCTGGGAATGTGACTCCCACCCCACTGGACCCTGCTTCTACCACCCAGGCAAGTGCTGATTCCAGCCCAGAACGGGGCTTTGCAGAGTCAGTGGTGAAGGAAGTCAGCAAGAGGCTGCATGTCAGTTTGGAAGAAGATATTCAGAAGAATACGGAGGGTTCCAGGGAGGACGTCGCAGTTAATCAAACCACACAGCTGACATTGAATACCCCCATTTCCAAGGCAGCTGAGGCCCCAAAGTCTCCTAACCTAACCTCTATAAGTTTAGCAACAAAGAAATCATCAGTGAAAGTTGGAGAGAAGGGACACAGCACTGCCCTGAGTGGAATCACTTTACACCCTCAGTCGCCCACCTCACACCACATCACAACTGAACAGGAAGACTCTCCAGACACAGCGAGGGAGAACAAGAGGAGGGGTCAGCTATTCTCTTGGAGCACTGTCGCCACAGCATTGGGCCCTTCGCCTGAGATAGAGCCTACAGATGATTCTCCTATCCACCTTCACAAAGCCATATGGGTGGAAACACACCTGGGACCGGAGGAGGAAGGGGAGAGGGAGGGGGAGGAAGATATAATGAAACAAGGGGAGGAAGGCTTCAGAGCAGACTCGCCTCCCGTGCTGGCTATACCTGTCACAGTAATTCCTGAGGACGACTCATTGCCTCAGTGCACTACGGACAAAAGGCCTTCCACCCCCCCAGAGACTGTGCCGTCCAGTTCCAGCTTGCCAGAATCAGCCACCTCCTTGGCACCGACTACAGGGGAGTTCCAAACAACCTCACCACAGCCAGAGGAGCCCGACACGGGCACAGACTCAAAGCAGGGTTCACTCAAGGAGAAGCGCAGATCGAGAGAAGTCCGTGTTACGCGTAAGACTGTGAATCTGCCTTCGAAGCACAAAGTTTTTGCCCACAAGGTGTACGTTAGCCCAGAGCCAAGTTTGGATGAGAGCGAAGCAGCGGAAGAGGAGCTCAGCAGAGATTCAACTACAAAGACTTCAGACACAACAGAAGTGAAACCGTGAGTATCTGTCTGTTTTAATTTTCTGTGGTTACCGTTTAATAGTCCCTTTGATCCTGGGGGAAACAGAAGGCAGGGGAGGCGAAGAGAGAAAAGCCTGCGTGCAACCTGAGCTCTGAGTTCCCAAGCTCTATTGTACCAGAGGAGAACAATACAGACTAAACCTGCACTGAGGCACTGAAATATTCATGTACAGTTCATCTAATCATACAAAAACAGTGACAGAAGTACTATAGATTACACTTGTAATTCCTAAAAAGCATTTGTTACTTTGTAAACAATAAATGTAGTAATAATAAAGTCAGGATTATTTTTCTTTTTGTCAAGTTTCAATTGAAATGAAGGTGACATTTGCTGTGTTTACCTATGGTGTATATTCACCACCTGAATAAGTTATTCATTACAAAACTTGACGGGCAACCGGCGACTACTGCCTGCACACTTTTGTTTGACTTTAGCGTGTCATGGTTACACACATACATGCCTATAGAAAAAAAAGGCATGTCGTGCGTATATATACTGCTTTCAAATGAATAAAGATTTAATAGTGGTGTGACAGTAACACCCTTTACATTTCTGAGTTGAGTGTGTACTTTAGGCTATACATGGTCATGCTTGGGAAAAAAAGTCTCAAGACTTAGATGGATTTCGTTTCTTCTCGCTTCTTCCAGCTGGATCACTGCCTTTTTATTGTCTAACCATTTACCAAATTGTCATTCATGCTCTAATATTCACAATACTCCCTATATTGTGGTATCAACTAGACCTCTATTTACAGCTTACACCTGGCACAGAATGCTGCGGTCAGACTATCTATTCATTTATCTATTTATCTATCTATGCAAATGTTAAAAAAGAGAACATATCACACCTTTATTAGCATCTCTGCACTGGCTTCCTGTAAGCTATCAAATTCCTTACATCATTCTTCTCTTTGTGTTTTTAGCTCTGCATGGTCTCACCCTGAGCCATACAACAAAATTTCTATCCTCATACAGTACAGCTAGGTCCCTCATATCTACAGATCAGGGACTGTTTGAAGATCAGCTGAACACTTTTTGGGGACAGGGCCTTCTTAGTAGCTACACAAACACTCTGGAATACTCTCCTTAAACAGCAGAATCTCTTGACTCCTTCAAAAGGTGTCTTAAGGCTAGGGCTGTACCCGACTCAGACGTAGGTCAGTCGGATCGGATTTGGCTGTTCAATGTGAATATTTAACTATTCTACGTTTTAGGGGTTCAGCAGGACGTTCAGTGTGACAGTGGCATTCACTTAATGTAGTACATAAGCTAAGTGAGCTAACAGTGGATTGGAAATGAGCAACAACATTTTTAGCAGACACTAAATATTAAACAACAGCCAGAGACTGAGTCATATGAAGTATCTGTGAGCTGTAAGTTCAAACTTCTAAGCAAAAGAGAGAAGATAGTGTTATCTCAGAGCGTTTCCTCCATGCCGCTACATCTTGTCTGCTGCAGCCTGTACGAAAGAGTGGCATGAAAGGCAGCTGACTGGGGGGGTCTCTGACTGATGATTGGAATTTATGCCCTTGAGAGGCAGCCCAACTTAAGACCCACCCTTACTCCCTTGCCTGTGTGCATGTGTATGTGTGCACTATGTTTTTTTTTTTGTTTGTTTTTTTTTTTAATAAATTTAATCTTGACCTTAAAGTTTTAGAACCACTGCAGAGGGATTCTTCCACATAGCTGCAGTTTCACCACACAGAGTAGTTTCTATTTAGCGTTTGAGATTAAAACAGAAGGAAGTTTTCATTTAAAACTCTCTTTAAAGACACCAAAAGCTTTAAGCTATAATGATATAGGACTATTTTGTAATTCTGGGAATTGCATTGCATATGTTCTGTGCAGACGTGAGAATGGAATCAATCCTCTCATCTAACTTAGGACAAGTAAGCAAAGAAGCGCACTTCCAATAGAGTCGAACTCATCCTTGTTATGGTAATAGCATGCAACTGGAGAATAAAATGAAATGTACTATTCATTGTTCTTTGTTTGAAGACTCATACAGCATTTTGCTGTGAAAGGAATAGTGGATCTTTTGAATTAGTGTTGTATGAGGCACTTATCCATTGTATTACCTACAGTAGATGTCAGTCAGACGCCCAGTTTGGAGAAGCAGGCAGGAGAACCGACATAGCAACTAAGCAATGTGCTGCTGTGGATGGGGGCAGCAGCAAAACGTGTTATAGCCACTTTCAAACAAATCTACCTAAAAAAAAAAAAATCCATATTAATTTAAGTGTAAACTGTGTTACGTACATTGACAATAGTTTACCTTGCTGCAGACAAGCCATTAACAGCTTCAGTTTTCCATCTATGCTCTTGTCAAAGCCACCAGACTGCATTAAGAAAAAGAGTGATTTTAGCTGGCTGAACACAGGAGCTGCTGGTCTAACGTTGCCTGAATAAGTTAGTTAGTTTGTGTTATTTTGTGACTTCGGTGAATCCAAACTAACCCTTTTAAAATGCCAAAGTTACATAATGACACAAATGAACTCAGGAAAGAGCTGTCTGACAGCAAGGTAAAGTGGCAAAATATTGTAGATATATTGTACACCTAAACTGTTAATGATGTTTTTAGGAGGCTATGATATGTTTTGCTGCTGCCCACCTCAACAGCAGTACATTTCTGAGCTTTTGTGGCATTACTTGTGTCTGTTTCTCCAAACTGGGGGCATGCTGACTGACATCTACTGTATGTAACACACTGACTATCATAAGGACCTCATACAAACCTGCTTTGTAAGATTCCTACTATCATTTCAAGGTTACTTAAAAATATTTCTGTTAATGTTTCTCTCTCTCTCTCTCTCTCTCTCTCTCTCTGTCTTTCTTCCCCTTCAGACTGCCAAGCCTCCAAAACAACAATGTGGAACTCAAAGAAGCCAACCTTGAGCCACTGCCAACACCAGATGAGATGACGCACTCTGACACAAATACTCCTGAGCCCATAGTTAAAGAAAAAACAGACTCTGAGGCCTCTGACTTTGATGATACCTCTGCAGCCTCTGACATGTACGGGGCAAAGTCACAAGCGGTAGGGTCAAGGGTAAGAAGCCAAGGGTCTAACCAGGCTACACCCTCTAAACGAGAGGTTAAAGCAGCAGCAGAAAGTCGGCATACCACAGCAAGTGGAGCAAAAACTCCATCCTCAGCAGCTGGCAGTAAGGCCAAAACTGTGACAACAAAGACCAAGGCCTCCACAGAGAGCACAAAGGTGGGAACTTCCAGTGACATGCCACCACAGAGAGAGCCTGGCAATGATAAAACAGTTTCTATGTTACCAACATCAAAAGACCAAAGCACCAGTGGTCCCTCAAGTCCAACAGGTTCAAAGTCTAAAATCCCCAAAAGGTCACCATCAGATGCTGATGTCAAATCACCAGTGACAGCAGATAAAACATCAGTGACTGATGCCTCTGGGTCAGTGGTCACTTCCAAACTGCAGAAACAACCCAGAACCAAAGAGGCTTTGAAATCACCGGTCACTACAACCAAAGTTGGCAGGAAACAAAGTTCTGAAGAAGCCAAGGGAGGGAAAGCTCTGTCCGGAGACATTTCTCCCACAAAAACAACTCCCAAGACAGGAACAAAGCTTGTTAAAGAAAAGCCACATGAGGACAGTGACTCTATAAACCTGTTAAATGGCATGGAGAGAGACCAAGAGGAGAGCAGTATTAAAACAGCACACCCAACTGACAGGGAGGGCCTGGATGTCAAAAAACAAGGGCAAAACCGTCTGGAGAATAATGCCTCCGTGACACCAAAGAGTCGGTTGCCCATTTCATCTCCGACAAGGAAGAAGAACGATGAGATAACTCAAACAAGTGGCACCAACTATAAGAAAGTGACATCTAGTCAGACAGATTCTGACAAATCCAAGACAGTCCAGAAGCAGAGTCCAGAGCAGCAAGAAGTATCTCCTAGTAGTGAGACATCACCCACACTCCCCGAAAGTCCCAAGAAAGGTAAGACATTACCACGGCAACATGTTGTATGCTAGACAGGAAATCAGTCAGTTCCAGGCCTGTTTACTCTGTCTTTATAACAAAACCCTGTAGCCCTTCTGTTGACAATGAATTAAGGATGAACTTTGTTTAATCAGGTTTAAAAATTGTTCATGGTTTAAAAAATAGTTTCACATATTGGAAAATTTGGTTATTTACCAGATCAGTGGTTCCCAAACTTTTTTCCCTGTAATGCCCCTCTTCTAAAGCTGAAAAAAGTTCATTAACATTTTATATTGTTTGTATTATTCATACAAAAACTGTGCCCGCTAATACATAGTTCCACACAAAACCCCACGCAAAACCACAAAATGTTGTTTTTACAAGTTGATGTTTGTGCAAATTAATTGAGAAAGATATAATGTGTTAAACAGTGAGCTTTAAAGGTGCTGGTATGGTGACTTCATTACCTTTGGACAGATCTGGGCTATAGATAGATAGATAGATAGATAGATAGATAGATAGGTACTTTATTAATCCCCGTAGGGAAATTATCGTGTCCAGTGGCTAAGGCACATAAAAAAGTACAAGGCACATATAAGACACATAAAAGAGTACAAGAATGGGTAATATAAACATGAATATAAAAGTAAAATAAAATAAGATAAAATAAAAATAATCTACATGTAAACAATGTACACAATCCGAAAGTACAAAGTGCAAAAGTGCAGGAGGGTGTGCAGATGTAGTGGGGAAATGAGCTATGTGCTCCCTCCCCCAACTGAGGCGTTGAAGAGTCCGATGGCTATTAGTGTTTATGGTAAGCTAAGCTAACAATTTCCTGGCTCCAGCTTCAAATCTACAATTGGCATCAATCTTCTCATCTAACTCTTAGCAAGAAAGCAATACAATTTCCGAAAATATCAAACTACTACCTTAAAGTGAGGATTTTTTTTTGTTCAGCCCAGTCCCTTAGAAGAAAATTTTGGCATTGTATGTTTCTGCAAACTACAGATATGTTACTTATGCACATTTCATACATATCATATCAACGTTTCAAGGTAAAGTGATGCAATACATGAGGTATCTTTGCCATCAGGGGTGGAGGGGATGGTGGATGTCGTGTCATCTAGGCAAGACACCTGCCAAGCCGCAGACTGGTTGTTTTTTTAGTGAGTCATTGCTGTGTCTCCAATTACTTTTTAGCTCAACGTTGTGTTTTTAACGGGGATGATGCCACGAAAAGCACTTTTGTTTTTTTACCAAGAAATTGCTGCCTGTGCCACTAAAGCATTTGAGTCAAAACATGATCTTCATACAATGCCAACATTTATTCTGCCGATTGGGTTGTTCTGTCATATAAGATCATTCTGTTGATGTTGTTCTTGTTGTATTAAAGCTGTGTGTGTGTGTCTGTGTGTATGTTTCTTTACAACAGGAAGCATGCTGTCAACCACACCATCCAAACCCCTATCTAAAAGAAGCATTAGCCATGAAGAGAGTGACACATCCACCTTGAGTGTCTCTCCACCTCCCATCAAGCAAGAAAAAACTGTCTCATTGAGGCTCCCCAAACAGGGCGACAACATCAAGCACCAGAAAAGTACAGTAAAGGATTCAGCTGATCCTTCATCACCTGTAAGCAAGCTTCCTACAAGGGGTCAGAGAAGCCCCAGCAAAGTAAAACCCAGAAAACTTTCACCAACTAAAAAATCTGCCCCCACATCCACATCTAAACAGGAGGACTCTAATCAGAACACAGAGTCAGTTGTCTCTGACAATGCTAGTGGTGACGGTTTTAAATCCAAGTCTCTGTCTTCAAATGAACAAGAGCATGTGATAAAAGTCAAAGACAATCAGTCTGATATCAGTGAAAACAAACTGAAAGTAAAAGAGACAAAGGAATCAGAGGAAAGCATAACCAGTCCTGCAACTGAGGAGATTTCAAAAATCCAACCAATGCAAAACAACAATGCAATTACTACAGAAAACACTCAAGTAAAAGTTACATCAGTTACAGGCTCAGGGGCTGAGATACTGGCTAGCGGTGAGGTTGCCAAAGCAAGTCCATCTGAGACGCCAGCTGTTCCTGTAATTAATGCTGAGACTGATTACCAGGAAGGACAGCATGAGACCAAAGAACAAACAAAAGTTGAGTCTCCACCTAAGAAATCTCACGTTCAAAGGGACAACACCCAACAGGAACAGGAGGCACCGTCTTCACCAAAGATTTGTACAGAGGAAGATAAAGAAAAAGACGTTTCAGAGACAGACCAGCTAATAAGTAACATAAAACCAAATTTAATCCAGGAGAGAGGCCTTCCAGAGCCAGATTCTGCTGTGCTGGCTCAGAAAACAATATCACCTTACCATGAGGATATAAGTGATATTTCAGCCAAACCTGTTGTAGTTGACAACACTCACTGTGACATAGTGGCCCACATTGATAAGGAAGGTGCTATGCCTGATAGTGTAACTCTGAAAGAAACAAACAAAGTCACTGCTAAGCAACATAACAGCAGAATTAGTCTTCCTGCTAAATTGGCCTCAAAAGACCAAGACACTGAGCCAAAAGATGTACTTTCAGCCACATCCATTGCTGTTGATGCTGACCTGGCCAGCACAGAGCAGCAAAAGAAGTTACTGAAGGATCAAACCACAAATACAATTCTTAAAAATGATAGATTGCCCACATTAAGCAGAGATTTAGTAAAAGATTTTGAAGTAGAGAAGGAAAGTAAAGAGGAGGCTGGCAGGAAACCAGCAGAGGCTTTGGACATTCAAACAGAAGCTGTGACTGTTTGTGAATTGCCCAAGAATGTTGAAAATCAGCTGGACAAAGGGCCTCTTTTACTGGCAGGAGAATCTGAAAGACAGGAGAAAGACTCAAAACCAAATGAAAAGCTGAATGACGCAGCGGTGGAAAGCACTGACTCACAGAAGAGTTGCAAAAAGGAGCTCAAGGGCATAACTATTAAGCATGAGACTGAGAGAGACGTCACAAAAACGCAGATGCCAACAGATCTATCATCAGAGGAGAAGCGTATACAGCCTGACTCGGAGGAACGACCACACACGGCAGTTTCGGAAGCCCTGGCAGAGAAGAAAATAGAGGCAGAGCAAGCAAGAAGTGCACTCCCTGAAAATACAGCCAGTGTGGTTGATTCAAAGCAGGAGAGTGAGATCATCTTAAAGGAGAATGCAGAGAGAGGTGATAAGGAGACTGATCAAGAGATGAAGACATCAACTGTGAAAAATGAACAGGAACCCAAGGTACTTCTAACCAATGCTGAGAAGGTCAGGGATAAGGAAGCAAATCAGGGGGACAAACAGGCCGACATAAAGAAGAGTCAAACTCCAGAAATAAAAGCTGTGAGCTCTAAAACTACAACTACTAAAGAAGAGAATGAAACAAAGGATTTGCTGATGAAGAATTTACAGAATGAGATTTCAGATGAGACTGCTGACTCTGAGGTTAAGAGCGACAAGGACCAGAAGACCTTAATTGCTACAGACAAAGATAAGGACATTAACAAAAGAGATGCTCATAGATCAGCAGAAACTAAATGTCAAATTGCTAACCTAGAACAGAAACCTAAGACAGAAAAAGCTACACAGAAGACAACAGAAAGCCAAGTTAGCATCCAACAAGACCAGATGTCCATAACTGTTAAAGATCAACATGAGGATATAACCAAACCAGATATAAGCAAACCAACAGCATCCAAACGTCCAGATACTGACCAGAAACAACAACCAGAAATAGTAACAACAGAAGCTCCAGAGAAGATGTCAGAGAGCCAAACTCAAGAACTCAAGATTGTCAGCATCAAAACTCAGAGTGCAGAGGGAGCTAAACAGAAGACTGAAACAAAGGATTCATCAATTAAGAGTTTGGTAGGGAAGACAACAACTGCAAATTCTAACTGTGAAGCACAGGATGAAAAGTCTGTAATGGTTAGAGATCAACATGAGAACATTACAAAACCAGATACAAGCAAACCTCCAAATACAGACCTAAAACAGGGACTGCAAAGAACAGGCGCTCCAGAGAAAATATGGGAAATTCAAGAACCAAAGGTTGTGAGTACCCAAAGTCAGAGTGCTGGAGGTATCAAGGAAAAGACTGACACAAAGGATTCGTCAGTTAAAAGTTTGGTGATTGAGATAGCAATGACATCAGAAGCTCCAAAGAAACAATCAGAAAGCCAAATTCAAGAACCAAAAGTTGTAAGCACCAAAAGCGAGAGTGCTGAGGGTGTTAAAGAAAAGACTGAAACAAAGGAGTCATCACTTAAGAGTTTGGTGAATGAAACACCAATGAGTACAGACGTTTCAAAGAAGCAATTAGAAAGCCAAATTCAAGAACCAGAGGTTCTAATTACTAAAGCTCAGACTGCAGAGGGAACTAAAGAGGAGACTGAAACAAAGGATTCATCAGGTAAGAGTTTGGTGAATGTGACAACTGCTGATGCTACCTCTAAAGTTAAAAACCAGGAGGATCAGAAGTCGATAGTTGTTAGAGATCACCATGAGGACATAACAAAACCAGATGCAAGAAAATCAACAGAATCAAAACGTCCAAATGCTGACCTAAAACAGGAACCAGAAATAATAAAAGCTTCAGAGAAGATGCCAAAAAGCCAAATTCAAGGACCAAAGATTGTAAGCACCAAAACACAGAATGCTGAAACTATCAAGGAAAAGACTGAAACGAAGGATTCATCAATAAAGAGTTTGGCGAATGAGATACCAGTGAGAACAGAAGCTCCAAAGAAGCAGTTAGAAAGCCACATTCAAGAACCAAAAGTTGTAAGTACCAAAACTCAGAGTGCTGAGAATATCAAGGAAAAGACTAAAACAAAGGATTCATCAGTAAAGAGTTTGGTGAACGTGACAACTGCTGATGCTAACGCTGAAGTGAGAAACCAAGAAGATCAGAAGTCCATAATTGTTAGAGATCAGCCTGAGAACATAACAAAACCAGATGAAAGAAAATCAACAGAATCCAAACGTCCAAATACTGGCCTAAAACAGGAAGCAGACAGAGGAGAAGCTTCAGAGAAGCAGTCAGAAATACGAGATCTAAAGGATGCAAGTACCAAAACTCAGAGTGCTGAAGATATCAAGGAAAATACTAAAACAAAGGATTCATCAATAAAGAATTTGGCGAATGAGATACCAGTGAGAACAGAAGCTCCAAAGAAGCAGTTAGAAAGCCACATTCAAGAACCAAAAGTTGTAAGTACCAGAACTCAGAGTGCTGAAGATATCAAAGAAAAGACTGAAACAAAGGATTCATCAGTAAAGAGTTTGGTGAACGTGACAACTATGGATGCTAACTCTGCAGTAAGAAACCAAGAAGATCAGAAATCCATAATTGTTAGAGATCAGCTTGAGAACATAACAAAACCAGATGCAAGAAAATCAACAGAATCCAAACATCCAAGTACTGACCTAAAACAGAAGGCAGACAGAACAGAAGCTTCAGAGAAGCAGTCAGAAATTCAAGAACCAAAAGTTGTAAGTACCAAAACTCAGAGTGCTGAAGATGTCAAAGGAAAGACTAAAACAAAGGATTCATCAGTAAAGACTTTGGCGAATCAGACACTGGTTAGAACAGAGCCTCCAAAGAAGCAGTCAGAAAGCCAAATTCAAGACCAAAATGTAAGCACCAAAACTCAGAGTGCTGATGACGCCAAAGAGAAGACTAACAAAAAAGATTCGCCAATAAAGAGTTTGGTGAATGAAATTGTAATCAAGAATGCGAACTCTGAAGTTAGCACCCTTAAGGACCAGAAGCCCTCAATTATCATAGATGAACCTGTGGAGATTAAGAAACAAGATGAAAACACAGATCAACCCAAAGATTTCAAAGCCCCAAATACTGACCCAGTTGTTCTTGTAACTGGGAAAGAAGCCAGTAAGACTGATAAGAAAAAAAGAAAAGAATTTAAAGAGGGTGATAAAATTAAAGTAACAAAGCCAAAGGATCAGCAGGTGAAGGCATCAAAGACAGATGCCAAGCAAGAGTCAGAAAGCATTTCCATAAATGATGCATCTGGCAAAAAAGTTGTTGGAGAACAAAAAGAAAAGCCCACTGTTGTTTCAGATAAAGTACTTGATAGCAGTGATGCTCAGAAGAATGATGGAGACACCAAAGAGACAACCAAAACAGAAAGTAGCTTTAAACAGGAACGGCAGACTTTCAGAGAAGAGAAAATCATAATAAACCTTAGTGATCTACAAAAGTCTGCAAAGCCAACACTCAATGGCAGTTCATCTCTGTCTGCGACAGCAGAATCATCTCCATCTAGCTGGTTAGATGTGGAGCATCAAAAACCTAAGAAGAAGGAACACAAAAGAAGACTAAAAGCCTCAGCCAGTGAGGACGAATCTCTTGAGCCTGATGACATTGATGATTTTATCAGGAGCATTAAGGAGGGAAGCATTCCATTCGCACTACCTCCTAAAAGGCATATTCGTAAAAAGTCCCCATCTCCACCTTTTGCCATGCCGTCCATCAGGGAGGACCACTTTGAGAAAGCATTTGATCCAGAGGAATTCAAGTTTGGCTTAAGAAAAAATAGCAAATGTTTTAAGGATCCTTCCCCGGCTATGGTAATTAAACAAAAAGCAGCTAATAGGGAAGGACGGACTCTGGAAAGACATGGACAAGATAATGCCATGCACACATTTAGAGATGAAATGAAATCACTTGATGAGGTGGAAGGAAAAGATGGAGTCAGTGAGGGGACAAATATTGAAGCAGGAAAAGAAGAGGGACAAAACAATGGAGAAGAACCTGGAAAACTGACGTCACGACTTGAAAGGATGTCCATCCTCTCCAGCCTACTGAGTTCCCCTCGGTCCTCCAGGAAGAGCAAAAAGGAAGCTACCTCTGCCTCCAATAGCACACTTCCCAACCAACAGCAGGGCCTGCCATCGCTTGGAAAGCAGGGAGCTGTTGATTCACCTCTGCCTGCCTCTAAAGCAGATAAGAAGGGTGTGGAAGGTCAAGATCAAGGCCCACTTGTAGGTGGTGGTATGGGTACAGTTAGTGAGTCAGCAATCAGCTCCTCCTCTCCTCCTCCTTCTCTGCCCTCGTTCTCGGAGATAAAGCTGCCTGATCATTTAGAGAAATACCTCAAGAAGAGCAAATCAGAGTCTGAGGCCTCCCAGGGCTCTACACAGATGGTTGAAACTAAACTGAATCCTGATGGTGCCATGATGGACCAGGTCTCGACAGCAGGAATACCAAATGTGGATGTGAGCCTGAAGAGACCTGCAGGACTGCCTCCAACCAGCAACAACACCCAGCAGAGTTCTCGTAATGGACTTACTACTTCTACACCTAAGGTAAGAATTCCAATATTTTAAATGATAAGCTTCAGTAATTATAGTTTTAGTTCAATTAATTATTAAAACAGTCTTCTGTAAAGAGATTTAACAGCCTAAAGCCTGAATGGGTTCTGACCTGCTAGGCTTTCACACAAAGGATTGATAAGTCTTAGTTTATTTCCGCGGTGATATGTCCCAGCTCATATCCTGTTCTTTTGTTTTGTGGTGCTGTTGCAACAAAGTTGTGAATCATTTGCAAGTGAGGACAGGACAAAGGAGCATGTCCTAGGTCTGGAATTTTGAACAGGGACTCTTTGCCAAGATCAACTGAAGCTCAACTGTCACGTCACATTAAGACATTTGCATCAGTAGGCAAATAAAGAAGGACTATGCAAAAAGCATGTTTGTGTTTGGATGAACACAGTGTGGGTATAATAATTACTGCATGGCAAGGGTTCATTTCTCTCCCTTTAGACCCTTGGCGTTACAATATAGTTATTTTGGCTTCTTCTAGGGCTGCCCCAGACTAAGAATCTTCTTAGTTGACCAGTAGTCATCATTTAGGGGCCATTAGTCAACTAGTTGCCGGCATGTTTACAATATTAACTTGATCATTAAATTATATATTTTGGGCGTGGCAACACAATGGTTTGACTTCAAGGTCTGAGAAGGAATAGTATAAATAATACTGTGCTACATTACAGAGAAATACAAAACCCTATGTAGGCCTATAGTTTATCTACAAGTGCACGTCACACACTGAGTGAGCCACCTGATAATTACGCTGTCGGCAAAGCAGTAATGATTATGCTAAGTGGCTAATGGACATGTGGCTACTTACATGTTTCAGATGCAACATGTTTGTAGTCGATGAATGATAGACGAATGTTTGCCTGCAGAGTTTACATATCACCTTGGGTTCGTCCTTCACCTTATTGAAATGATCTCACACTTTGGATTTCCTGCCCGACATGTTATTAACTAGCCTGTGTAATAACCGCAGGTACCAGCTTTTTAAAGTAAAGTGACTGCTGAATGTGGCCACTTCCTGTGTCTGTCCTTTCAAATTAAATTACCACGTGGTCCAGTCACATAAGTTTGGATTTATTTTGACAAGGCGCAGCTCCTGATAGAGTTTATTGTTGTTTATTTGTTTGTTTGTTTTTTGTTTTGTTTTTTTATTTTTGTTCCGAGACTAAGCAACCAATGAAATCTTGCTGACTAATGACCCTTCTGGTCGACTAATGTTTAGTCAACTATTACGGGCTGCCCTAGATGTGAGTATTGGTGCTAGTAGTACAAACTTGACCAAAGAGTCCTAATCACACTTGTGTGAAAACATCATAGTAACAATATCCTCTATGTATATAAAAATAACATTCAGGTTAAAATTAATTCAAATGAACACATTTGTAACATGTCTGGTGGAGATAAGCAACATATCTTATTTCTATAAATGATTTGGGTCTGAAGAGGCTAACAAATAATGTTAGCTCTATTGTTTGGAGGATTGAAATCTTTTTTAAAGCACAGGTTCAAGTTCATAATCAAAATATTATATTTTCTTTCAGATACCAGCAATAAAAGGGTTCCACAAAAGGCCTGGAAAGGTATGATAAAATATTATGCATTTGCTTTTTTTTTTAAATAATACAATAATACATTGTTTGCTGCCTCTATATTTAATGAATGTCTGTGTCTTTATCCAGATTGTCATACATGAACATGCTCAGTTTGGAGGGCAGGCGTTTGAACTCTACCGTGATGTAGAGGACGCCACTGCAATGAAACTGTCATCCGTCATCTCAGTCAGAGTCATCAGAGGGTGGTAAGAGTCTTCAGTAGCATTCATAAACAAAACTGCATGTTTAATAATAATTCAGTAAAAACCTGCTGATACAATATAATCTAAATGACTATCCAGGTAAAGTGTCTGCACTTGGCTCTTTTACACTGGCCACATTTCAGAACCATCCTACCAGATCCTTTCACTTGTATTCTGTTTCTGGTCATCCTTATAAGCATGTATCTAATAGAGCCATCCACAAAGCTGTTTAAAAAATAAATTTCTGATTTTTAATAATGTAATGATGCAGTTCTCTTTTCCTTTAGCTGGCTCCTCTATGAAAAACCTGGCTTCCAGGGTCGTATCATTGCCCTTGAGGAAGGTCCTACAGACCAAATATTGAATATGTGGGCAGAGGAAGGAACTCCGACGACACTAGACCAGATGGGTCAGCCTATACCAACAGCGCCTTTGGTCATAGGTTCTATTCGATTGGTAGTTAGAGTAAGTAAACCTGTCGATTTGTCAGACTATCACACTGCATTCATGTCATTGTCACTGTTTGTCCTGTTGTGTTGTTTGCCACTTCATATGATCCCTGTGTAAAGGTATTGACCAAAAATACATGTGGCATGAGTATTTAAAACTGTCTAGTATCTGTACCCATAACTGTCTAGTGTATTACTCCAAATACAGTTTTTAAAAATTCTTGCTTATTCAGACACTTTGATAATGTGTTGGCATTAAATATTTGGAATTCTCACATAATTGTATTTTTATTTTGTGTTTTATAGGACTATAGCATACCCCGAATTGACCTGTTTGCAGAGGTAAATGGTTTGGGAAGGGTGTCATCTTACTGTGACGACACTGTGGAGATTGGCTCCTATGGGATCCCACTGACCACCGGCTCCATTAAGGTTCATTCTGGAGTGTAAGTTCAGCTGACAGCCAAAAGCTCTTCCTGTCACTCATTTGGGGAATTTATGTGAAGGGGGTTTTTGCATTATGGAAACATCTTTCAGTTTCATTCTTGGCCTGCAACTAAATGCCAAAACACACCGCTGTACAGCGCGCATTAAACACCTGACCCTATTGCTTTTTATATACATCCCCATTTCCATTCACTCCCTGCTTACACATTCGGGCCCCCAAAGTAGCTCGACTTTTCTCCTCACCTCTTGCTGTCGCTGTCTCTGTGTGTGTCGAAGACTGGATGAGGAGAGACTAGCTGTTGAGGTTGAGAAATATCCCGAGCTACACAACCCACATTCCCATCACTATAAAGACAATGGCAACAAAGGTATTGCCTGATGAGCCATAGCTCTGGAGAGTGTCCACGCGTGACTTTAAGATAATGTAGAGGTGAAAGAAGTACTCAGATCTTTTACTTTATTAAAAACAGCAATAGCTTTTCTGTTTACGGGCTGCAGTGTGATGCTTCCTCTTGGTGCTAGATGCTGCAGTTAAAGCACGTCTTATGATGCAGCGCTGCGACGGTAGTGTGCTTGCTGATGACTACATGGGAATGAGTCTGTGTGCAGCATCTGTTTTTTGTCTGTGAAGGAATGCATACGGAGCTGAGTTTGTGCTTGTCAGTTTTAATTGCTGCTGATTATTGATGATGTAGTGATACACTATTGCATTTATCTGAGAGGATAAGACAAGGCACTGTGAAGAGAAAAGTCACTGTGTTTATTACTCTCCTTCCCCCCCCCCATCTCTCTCTCTCTCTCTCTCTCTCTCTCTCTCTGCTGTCTCTGTGTGTCTGCAGCTGGCTGGTGTACACCAATCCAGGGTTTGAAGGTTTTCTTGGAGTGCTGGAAGTGGGGGAGTACCCATGCCCACAGGCCTGGGGTTTCCACGAGCCCTTTATTGGGTCTCTCAGACCCCTTCGAATGGTACAACACATGAAATAGATGATATATGTTTGCACTGTACTGTCATTTTTTAAAAAAAGTGTTTTGGTCTGACAAATGTGTGTCTCGTCTTTACAGGGACCAATAAAGGTGGAGCACCCTCATGATTTCAAGGTGTGTTTTGCTTTGCATTACATTTGTTGCATCTATCAATATCTGCTGTTTACAGAAACTATACATATTGAAGTGTCATTACAGGTATGAGAGTAGTCATAGTCTTGTCTCTAATTCACACTTTGTTTAGTGCTGTGCCAGTGCTGGAAGAAAGGTATCATCATAGTTCTGCTTTAAGGGAAAGAATGCTCTGGGTTGTTTGTATTCCTCTAACCAATCAGGAGTGTCTTGTGCTGCACTAAGCCCAGAATGCAGCAACAGTGCTCTTGATTAATAGTGTCGGGAGGGAATTGTTTTGGTGAAACATTTGCACGAGGTGAGCCTTGGGATTAAAAAATGCCTAAATCCTTGCAAAAGACAAGACCACATAACATATTAAGACATTTTAGCGTGTAGGTTGCTAGCTCTGAGTTGCTGTTGTTGTTTCACACACAGCACTAAAACGAAGTGTGGAGATAGGTGTTGCAAGGCAAGACTAGTTTCACATAGGGACAAGAATTTTGAAAATAGTAACACACTGATAGTGAAAGGGTTGGAAAAGAAGAATAGGTAGCCAATGACAGGCTTAAACTTGGTGTCACACTGCAGTAATCAATGTGATGTGATGAAAACATAGATGACTTCCTCTAAAATTTTTGAGTGGGAGTGAACTGATTTTTTAGAGCACTCTGAAGCAATAATTTCACATGATGTTCAAAACTCCCAATGGGGACCAAACATCATGCTCAGATTTTTGATCAAGCAAGCAAAACTAGTGCTTCAACAATTAGATTAGGTTAAATGGATTAGATTAGAATTAATCAGCAACCATGTTGATAATTTAATAAATCATTTCAGTCCTTTTTTCAAGCAAAAACACCAAATAATCTCCAGTTTTAGTTTTCAAATGTGAGAACTTGCTGCTTTTCTTTGTCATATATTACCTTAAATTGAATATCTTTAGGTTTTGGACACGTTGGTTGAACAAAACAAGAAGTTTAAATACATCACTGTAACACTTTGTCAAACTGACTGCTTAGATTGGACACTGCAGGCGTCCTATGTACTTGTGTCTGTAGTTTTAGACTCATCCAGTAATTTACCAAAAATATGTTAATCATTTTCATGATTTGGGTTGCGGTAGCTAATAGCCCTTTTTGACCAAAATGTTCCAGGAACTATGAAACCAGAGGAACTTAACTAGGAGCTAAGTCCATCTTGTGCATTCCTGTCTGTATTTCTGCTACATCTGAAGACAAATTAGTCTCATATGAGGAAGAGTCATGCTGTTCTTTGTATTAACTGCAGCGTGACTCTCATATTTCAGTCGGATGTTATAAATGGATAAAAAGTAAACACGCAGACGTGAAGACAGACTGAAAATTGCTTTGCTCCTGTCTCGACAGTAAACAGTCTGCTGAGTTTCAAAAGGACTTTTATGACTGATGACAACAAAGCCTAACTCTATTTTCAGTGAAACTACTAACCCAATGGCAGGGGCTTGTATTTACACCTGGAACCATCAAACTAAATTTAGGTACTGATTCCTCAAAAGGTTCTTGTGTAGTTCCAGTGAAACACCCTGCACATTTTCAAGATACAGCTCAAAGAGAAAGCCTAAAGAAAGCAAGAGGATGTCTAAACACTTTTTTGTGCATACTGTATGTACCTCCTGTATATTGGCAGCTCTTAGCCTACAGTCTATTCTCGCATCCCGTGTACCTTTCTTGTCAGACAGAGGTCAGATATGTCACTGTAAAAATTCTGTCTTAGGATAGAAATGAGCCCAAAACACATGTGGATACACAAATTATACACACACACATCTAAAGACTGTGTTTACAACTAACGCTCATCTTTAACTCCTCTCTCCTCCTCCCACTTAGGCCTTAGTGTTTGAGAAGCCCAACTTTGATGGAGAGAGCATCGAGGTCGACAGTGACACGTACAACTTGCAAGAAGAACCGGAAGGAGAACAAACAGGCAAACCAGACGAGAGCAAGAAGACATTGTCTACAGTGGGGTCTATAAAGATCCTTAGTGGTCTGTAAGTATCTGTTTGAGTTAATAGATGAAGGGGGTGACCAGCAGCAGCCAAAGATTATTTGCCCATCATCTTTGTTTTATAGGCAGCCAACCTTAGGGATATTAATTTAGATTTTAGTAGATGGTTCAAAAAAAGTTGTGAAATTTTAGTGATATTTCTTTGTTTTGTCCTCACAGCTGGGTGGGCTATCAAGAGGCAGACTTCGAAGGCCAGCAGTACATCCTGGAGGAGGGGGAGTATCCTCACTGCAGTGACTGGGGAGGATCTGAGGATGGGCTCCTTTCTCTTCGCCCCGTGTGCTCGGTAAGTATCACCTGCAATATTATTGGCACATTGAAAAGGTAATCTGCACGATTTCTTGTCTGATCTTGTTTTCATCCTTGGCACTAAGCACCGATTGCTATGGTGATCCTGCACTCCACCTTTCAGAGTTCACTGGCCATTTAAATTGTGTTTAACTGTTCTGCCCCTGTTGATTCTCAATGAAACAAAGACTTTTCTTGGACAGGGAAGATTTGAAATAAGAGAAGTGGCTTTCCACTTTGTAACAATATCACTGTATTATCTTCCCCAGGATTTCCTGTCCCCTCATGTTAAACTGTTCAGCGAGCGGCACTTTGATCAACTGGGGCTCCATGCGGACTTGCTTGGTCCCGTCCCGAGCTTGGAGGACGTTGGCCATGGTTGCAAAACTCAGTCCGTCAATGTCATGGGTGGAGTGTAAGTAAACAGCCTCTGTTAAAAAAACAAACATACAAAAAAAACAAACAAACCAATAGAAGTTCACAATGAAGGAGAGAAACCTTTTGACTCTGCGTTGTCCACACACGCCCTTTTAGTCTTTGGGTGTGTGCTTCATTGTTCATACATGACTAAGTGTTCTGTCACTGCACACACAAACATTCAGACATGCACACATACACCCCTAGAGAACAGTTGTGAATAATCTCGTGTGACTGATTCAGTAGGGTAATTGATACGTCACGTTTGACAAAGGATGAGCTTTGTATCTTGAGGGCAAGGATTTACACTGATGAAGAAGAGTGGTGTATTAATTTGCAAAGATTCTGCCCTCTGCCTGTATTTTCAAATTTTCTTTTTATTTGCTGTGGTCAGGACGTTCCTTTGCACAGCGAGCAGTAGCGACCAGATGCCAGACCATAAGTAGAATGCATCCAAGAGGTAGCTACAAAAACGGTAGACACAGTGGCAAAAAAAAGCCAAATTTAGCAGTGAAATGCCAAGTGGACAAAGCTCATTCCAACGCAAGAATGAATCTGGGACAGGCTTTCGCTTTCACTTTCACTTGCAAACATTTGTACAAACAGTCACTGAAAATCCAAAAATTCATAGTATATCTTTAAAGATGTACATCACAAGCTTCTTCTTGAAGTTTCTGGAAAAAAAAAAAAAAAAAGGAAGGCCTTGATCCAGGTAGTGTGCATACTGTACCGTTTGTGACATTGTAGTTAAGTAGCTAACTGTTTAAAAAAGTGGTTTGCATACATTTTATGTCAGTTATTAATATTTATTAATAACTTTAAAACACGCATGTTTTGTAGTGAACAGATTTTTGTCACTCAGCCAGATGCATGTTTTCAACTGAGTGAGTTTGTTTACCGTTTATCAACATCTTGTGTAATGTTCTGTTTGCTGTACATCTGCCCGGCCGGCTGAATCGTTTTACAACCTCTTTACAGTGTGGACTTGCTCTTTTTATGATGGCAGCATAAAGTCCAAGTCTGTGATTTAATCAGAGAGCCAGTCAGGCTATGGAGAAACAGCTTTGCCTGTATCTGTCTGTAATAAATAAGTTCTGTCACTGAGGTGTTTGCGTCATAGGATGTTCTCTTTATGTCTCTGGTAGGTGGGTGGCGTTTGAGAAGCCTGGATTCAGCGGAGAGCTCTACGTGCTGGAGAGAGGCCTGTATGCAAGCCCAGAGGACTGGGGAGCCCACAACTACATGATCTCATCCATACAGCCGGTCTTCCATGTAAGAGATGAATGTGTAGGATCAGTTCAAAACAGGATGTGGCTCATCAGGAGTTTCCACATGGAAGCAACAACTACATGACCATTGTTTTGTTAAGAACTTTGTTAATGCAAAGTTTAATAACTCCCTCCTGTCTGTTTTATAGGACACACTGATGGGAACAACAAAATTCAAGGTATCATCCCTCCATTTAAGGCTTTATATTAAACAGAGTTATCCATTTTTCCCAAGCCATCTTCGTAGTCTGTTCTGGTTGTGTCACTAAGCCTTGTTTTTACATGTGTTCCAGATGCAGCTGTATTCTGAGCCAGACTTCCAGGGAAGGCTGGTGACTCTGGAGGACAGCGCATCAGCTCTGGATGACGACTTCGTACCTAAGTCCTGTAAAGTGCTGGCTGGCAGGTAGGCGCAGCTGAACTGGCACCAAACACTGGCTGAAACTATCAGAGACATTCTGGGTATGAGAGATTTAACACAGCCGGCTGAAGAACGAATGCTGTATTTATTTAGCACCAAACTAAAAACAGACCTTTGCCAGATGAAAACCTTTTTTTTGTTCATTTATACATTTTAATTCCTGCATTGGTGTCAGCAAGACCCAGGTTGTATCTGAGACACACAGTAACTAACAACCATACTCGTACCTATACCTGTACCGAAGATCATTCATAATGTTGATATTAAGATTCTAAATCAACAATGTGTGTGTTCTTGTGTGTGTCATTCTCTGTCAGCTGGGTGGCATATGAAGGAGCTCAGTTCACAGAGAACATGTATGTGTTGGAGGAGGGAGAATACCCCAACACAGAGACCATAGGCTTCCTGTCCTCAGAGTCTACCATTCGCTCCATACAGACTGCCGGACATGTGAGTATTGCCTGCACTGCTTATATGAAAAGGTATATTTGAGCATTCTGTGATGCTCTTGTTGGTGATGAAGGAATCATTGTAAGTGATTATGAATGAGACTAATAATTAAATCAAACTCTCTGGTTTTCTTGTTCAGGAGTTCTCTCTGCCCTCCATCGTCTTGTTCAGCAAGGTTGGCTGCAGAGGTCGCAGAGCAGTGCTGAGAAACGGAGCTGTGAACCTGCTACAGGCAGGCCTCGACACACGCACACGCTCCCTGGTGGTGGAGGGAGGAATGTATGTCACCTTTTAAAAATTCCCACTTTTCATCTTTGAACAGCGCAGTTTGTCAAAGCCTGCTATGAATCCCAACATGATTGACAGCTCATAAAACAACAACAAACTAAGACAACATAATTAATGTTTTCTAATCATATGAAAGTTGTTTAACAACACTGTCGTATGTGTACATTGTAGTATTTGGAATAACAATGTAACACATAATATTGATTTTCCATAACATATGCATGAATGAGTATTCCTTAAATTTGTTTAGTAAAATTTGTTAAATACATATTTAAATAAGCAAAGTTTTTTACCCAAGTTCTTCATATTTAAACACGGACATGTTGATGAAATGCAAATGGATACATGGAAAAATATTTAAATGTTCACATACTGCAAAAGGTTTGACACGAACAGATGAAGTTCCCTTTACATGGTGTTAGCACTGGATATGTTTTCATTAAGAGCAGCAAACGTGTCAAAGATGTGAGGGAGCCACCAGGTCAATAACAAATGTCACAACTGTAAATCACATAGCTTGGCTTTTTTTTTTTTTTACGTTGTCTCATATTTTGCTCTGCACATTTGTGAAGCTGGACTAACACACATGGCTGTTCTTGCCACAGGTGGGTGCTGTATGAAGAGAGTAACTACCGTGGTCGACAGCTGCTCCTCCAGCCAAGTGAAGTGGGTGACTTCTGGGAGTTCAGTGGCTGGCAGCAAATAGGATCCTTACGTCCATTACTCCAGGTATGGAGGAGGGGCACGGGCCCATCAAAAATAGGCCCATCAAATTAGTGTCTCTATGAATGACGAGTATATGACACATAAAATATCAAATAAGATACTGTCACATGAATCAAGTCAGATCAATAAAACAAGTCACACATCCAGTTATAAATTATTTAGACATGTATTCATAAATCATGTGGTTTCGTGGTTTCCCTCCAACAGAAACAGATGTACTTCCGTCTGCGGAGCATGGAGACAGGATGTGTGATGTCCCTGACAGGAACTTTGGATGACATCAAGCTGATGAGGATTCAGGCTGTGGAGGAGACAGGAGGGCTGGAGCAGGTCTGGCTCTATCGGGACGGGCAGCTTACCTGCAAGGTACAGCATTATACCAACACCACACAGAACTGCTGTAACAGACCTACAAAAGTATTAAAGGAATATTTCACCTCCCAAATGACCATTTGTATATCAATAACTCACCCAGTGTTACGATGACTTAGTTAGGGTTGGGTACCGAAAGTCGGTGCTTATATGGAACCGGTACCTATACAACCAATACCTACTGGGCCGAAACAAACCGCACATTGCAGTGCCTCCTTTCGGTGCTTTTTTTTAATGCTGTGTATCCCTCTATTGGACATTACACATAACAGAATCATTCATTCATTCATTCATTCATTTGTTGAGTGTATATTATTATTTAAAGGCACGCTAAGCACCATTGTCACTTCTGTTTACGCTCAACAATGTTATCAAACACAACGGAGCAAGCTCCCCCGTCGTTCTCCTCGTCCTCCGCGTCCTCCATGACTCTGTCATGAACCAGCGATAGCTGCTGGTTACCCTGGATTTACACACCTGTTCAAGGGATAGTGCATCCAACATGAAAATTCAGCCATTATCTACTCACCCATATGCCGACGGAGGATCAGGTGAAGTTATAGAGTCCTCACAACACTTGCGGAGATCCAAGGGGAGAGGAGGTAGCAACACAACTGCACCTAATGGAGGCTTACGGCACCCCAGATTCAAACGTCTAAAAACACGTATCGGAAAAAACCCAAACGATACCCAACCCTAGCCTTAGTGAAGAAAATGTTTTTCTCACATGCTTGTATGGTGAACAAAGAATCCAAAAGCTGGCAGCAATTGACCAGCAGCTCGTGTGTTCAGCGAGGTAAAATTACTATTTTTGTCAATGGAGTCTGGCTTTGAAGAGAGCATAGACAAGTTTCACTTTCAGTTCAGTTTCCTTCAGAAAGGTAGGGAAGTACTAAGCATATAACTGGATCAATGAGACTTGAATTATATGTGAGAGTTTGTAAACAGATGATTTGATATAGTTTTTCTGTTGTTAAGAATTTTCTTTTTGGATTCTTTGTTCACTGGAGGCATGCAAGAAAAACAAAGTTCTTTTTCATGAATTCAGTGTAAAACAGGGTGAGTAACAAGTATACATCTAGTAATTGGGGGGTGAAGTATTCCTTTAAGTGAACAGGCCATCTTTTAATAGCTTATGGTCATAAATTTCTTCAAACAACACCTTCAGAACATATGGAAGTGTTTTATTGACAAACACTTGTAGTATGGCTTTAAAAGTCTAATATTTGCCTGTTTATCATTAGGATTTTGCTCTCAGACGGTCTCGTGGTTGCACTCACTCACCTTTCAGTAAGCAGTGTTCGTGCCACATACATTATGAGCCCTAAAACATATTTGCACAGAAATTGTGTTTATCTGGAAACAGCTGTTATTTGCTGCGGGAACTGTTACAGTAGTTTGAGAGATGGCTGTAGTGAAAAACACTCTACCCTCTGGCACAGTTATTTTAGCTGTGTACCTGTAAACAAGGGTGTGATCAAGACAATATGCAAAGCAGGAGAGGTTATGATTTTATGTCTGTAGGTTGTCTGTTAGTTAGCAGGACATCTCACACTCAACAACAATAACATTATCTATCACTGTGTATTTTGATGCTGATATAAAAAAAGATTTTTAGAATACTTGCTATTACAAAATGTCTCATCAAAGGGATTGTGTCAGCAAGAGGCATCAGGGGTATGTATACTGTGAGAGCTTTGTCATTTGTTTTCTGCACTTACTTGAGACCAGCAGTGGATTTCAAGCACCAAGTAAATTAACCAGTACTTACTAATGCATGTTCATCCTCCTCCACCATGCCCTCTCTGTCTCCAGCTGGTTGAGGACTGTTGCCTGGAGACTACAGGAGGTTTGTTGATGGAGGGCAGCAGGCTTTGTGTTACCCCGGAGCGAGGCAAAGGCAACAACCTGTGGAACATCACCCCAGACGGACGAGTGCACTGCCACCTCAAACCTGACCTGGTCCTGGAGGTCAAAGGTCAGATTGCTCTGCCTTCACTTCAAACATGTATTTGTACAGCTACGTTAGTTGGAATAAAGTAAAACAAGTTCAACTATGTCAGCATGTGATTGTGACTCAATCAGACCTAAACCAACAGCTCCATCTGCTGGTGTATTGAGGAGATGCAATGCACCCTTAGAAAGTTTTGTTTTGTCTTTTGTCAAGTGGTTTTGGCTTTAACTACATTTTTTTGATAAGTAACTGTGTTTAATATTTTGGTTCCTTGAAGTGGTATTTTGAATTTTTATGAGGTGGGGCTGTGTGAGACACTTATTCATAGTCAGTGTATTGCATACAGTAGATGCCTGTCAGCTCATCCCCAGTTTGGAGAAGCAGGAAGTAGGACTCCACCATTAATCGAAAAAAAATCATGATATGTTTGGCTGCATTTCTGTCACTCCTCCTTTCTCTCCCCTGCTGTGTGCTTCTCACCGAGGCACACAGACACGGGGCATAGAGAAAGGAGGTGATACTTGAGTAAACAAACTCTTATTACATTACTGTAAGTGCAATAAAATTTTCCAAACAAGTGTAATTTATTAATTTAATCCACCTAAAACCAAAAATAGACACATGTTACAACAGACTTTTAAGTTTAAGTCCAAAATTGTGCAGCTCTATCTGGCAGGACTACCGACACAGAAGCTTAGCAGTGTACCTCTGTGGAGGGGGGACAGCATGATAAGACTTTTGTAAAGTGGCTAAAATACATTGGGCTGCTGCTTGCTTAGCTTCCATGTCAGTGCTCCTGTCTGCTTCTCCAAACTGGGGGTGTATCGGCCAACATCTACTGTAGGTAATACATTGACTTTAGCTTACCACCTGATACTACCCCACTTCGAAAGATCCAAAATATCCCTTTAATGACCAACTTTACCAGTTGGTGTCAACAGTCTAAAAATATTTTCTCTTGCAAAACCCACTGAGTATTGTCTTTGCTTCTCAGGTGGTCATCAGTATGACAAGAACCAGGTGATCCTCAACACGTATGATGAGAGAAAACTGAACCAAAGATGGACCCTGGAAGTCCTGTGATCATATCAGCCTCAACTTGCCAGACACACCACGTCATACTGAACCCTGTGATGCAGCTCCACTGTAGAGCCCACACCACAGAGATGGGTCCAGTAGGAGGATTTGCGCAATCACTGCACTCCTTTGTAGTATTTTAACTCTTGTTTACTCCTCTGGAGGAGGGTGACCTTTAACTGGATATACTTTATAACTATTCTCATAGTGTTAATTGAGTGAATGAGTATCATAAAAGCATTGCTTATGTTTGCCACTTGATTTCAAACACTGTTTACCAAAGACTTCAGGCACCCCTCTCTATGTCGTCACTGCATGTAGTGAGAACTCAGCCCTGTTTCAATGCTGCATACTTCCCTTTACTTAATGGTACTTTTCTACTGCATGGTTCCAACATCTGTCTTCTGATCATAATGTTGGCAAATATGAATGTATAGTGTATATTGACAGCTGTTATATGAAGTCCGATGTGCCTACACTCCAAAGATGTATGTCGACTAAGATGTTTTCTTTTTGTGAATAGATCAAAAATGATCTATTTTAGAGTTTTAATATCTGCTTAGGACTTTTTACGCAAACTGGACTTTACTGCATGAGGTTGTATATAAGCATCAAGTGTATAGATCTTAGTTTAAATTTCAAAGCAGGACTGCAATAACACTACTGCCCACTGTTGATTGTAAATATGTGAATGTCCAAGAGAAAACTGTTACACATGAAAATAAGAATGATTCTCTCTATTGTCTTTTTTAGAAAATAAAGCATTTTCTGTGTTTTAATACATTGTTTCTGTAAGAGTTGCCTATTTCTATGCAACAGAGGATTTTAAAATTAAAGAGACAGTTCACCCCAGAATAAAAAACACCTTTTTTTTTCTTTTACCTGTAGTGCTGTTTATCAGTCTAGATCATTTTGGTGTGAGTTGCCAAGTGTTGGAGATATCATTCATAGAGACATCTGCCTTCTCTCAAATATAATGGAACTAGATGGCACTAAAAACAATCGTAAAACTCAACAGCAATGTCTCTGACCCAGTTACTCAAGATAATCCACAGACCTTGTGAGCAGTTTCATTCATTATCTGGAACCACTTATCCTGGTATAGAGAGGGGAGGTACAAAGGTCGCCAGACTATCACAGGGCTGACACATGGAGACAGACAGTCATTCACATTCACACCTATGAGCAATTTAGAGTGATCAGTTAACCACACCTACATGTCTTTGGACTGTGGGAGGAAGATGGAGAACCAAGAGAAAACTCATGTTGACATGCAAACTCCACACTGAAGGGCCCCAGCTGACCCTTGGATTTGAACCCAGAACCCCAAACCTTCTTGCTGTAGGGTGACAGTGCTAATGGCTGTACCAACATTCTGCAGTCAAGTGCACATTTACATGCTAGAGATTGCTGTTGAATTGTTCAAATGTATTTTTCGCCTCTTTGAGCACCACAAGCTGAGTGCCACTCCGTATTATATTAGAGAGAAGGCAGACATCTCTATGGCCCAGTGGTGTGAGGAAGTTACAATAGGCCCCTGTGGACCCTAATGATGGGCCCAAGCGTGCCTTGGTTACTAGTTATGAACCCCCCCCCCCCCCACACACACACACACACACACACAGTTTTAGGCTTATATGTTACCAACAGTGTGTCTTACTGCTGCTTTTAAACATAAAAGCACTTGCAGATGCGCCCAGCTTGTCAGTCTTGACAGATTTTGCACTGAAACTAGCTACTGTAAATTGTATAGTTTCATTACATGATTAATCAGAGACTTCATATTGCACATCTATATATATTACCCAGCAATCATCATTATATATCTGTATATGATAAAAACTACAAAAAGGAAAAAATAAAAAAGGAAAAATAAAATAGGAAATTATTGCTTAAACTATGTTTTTTCATAGTTATATTCTTTGTAGTTTATATAGAATAAGCATCTAACTGTGTTATAGATTGAAAAAAAAATTGCACCATTTTTGGTTTAATGTGAATGTTTTTTTTAACAATTTATCCTATGCGAATGTGTCTGTTTCATTTATGATTGTTATAACTACTTGTGTCCGTTACATTCTCATGTTTAGGAGAAAAATACTATTTGTATTGGAATAGACTTAAAATTCTAGAGGGGAGGTTTTCACCATTAGCCCCTTCAGGTTTCTTACCTCTCCAGCACAATCCCTGCCATGTTTATTTTTATATACTTGTTTTTATCACATCTTTTGTGCTACAAAATTCAACTTCAAACACTGGCGTATTTCCAGGTGGCGATCAGGCCCCTGTATCTATATTTACACTCCTGCTATGGCCAATATCTCCAACACTCAGCAACTCACACCACAACAATCTAGACTCAAAAACAGCACTACAAGTAAGAGGAAAAATATATATTTATGATTCTGGGGTGAACTGTCCCTTTAAGCCCCTATTTATGGAGCTTTCATTTTATCATGATAATGACACAAAGCTAAACACACATTTACACTAAGGAGGACAAACTGTAACAACACAAGCTTGTTCTGAGATGTAAGAAATATGATACCAAGCAGAAGCAGCAGCTATATTCACGGGAGGTTATCAAGTTCATCATTAGCTGTATACAAATATACTTTATGAAAGAATAACACTTATGAAGTCAAATCAACACCTCACCTCAGACTTAATAAGAACTGAACATCATAACCTTCATGATGTTAGGATTTATTGCAGGGCTATTTTGTAAGACTGCATTAGTTTTGCCTAATAAACTGGCAACTGAGTGTATGTGGAAAAAAACGACAACTTCAGAATCACTTATTTTAACAACCTTTTATTATTTTTCAAGTCAGTATAAAACTGCCAAACACCGTAAAGCATACAGCAGCAGCTGTAGTGTTTCCATACACATTTTAGGGACAAAACAAACTTGTTCTTGTACCTTGTTTGCCGCTTTGGAAACAATAAGCCGAGACTTTGGGTTCAAATCAGTTTGAGTTTATTCACTGAAAATGTAAAGAGTTAGTGCTATAAGTCCTCTCCCCCTTTGCTGATCTGGACCACTGTCTTTCCGCGAGCATGACCTTTCTCCACCTTCTCGAAGGCTTGAGGAACCTGGGAGAAGCTGAAAGTCTCCTCCACCACTGCCCGAATCTGATAAAGAGCAGATAGAAGGAGGCAGAGGTCATACAAGCCTTGTGTCTCAACTACTGTGAATGACAATATCAGTGAGGAAAGCAGTTATTGGTTGCAGTTTCCTTCAATGATAAAGTGCAAATGAGAAAGATAGAGGGGTGTTATCTGCATAGAGCACGACACAACCCTCAGCTGAACTGCATATTATATCACAATGTTATTGATCGCGCTACAGGATCAACAATAATTCATGGAGATGTCAAATGCATTCATGAAATCTAATGCGTTAGAGAACAAAATGTGCACTATGGGTTTAATTGAGAGTAATGATGTGGGGGAGCCCTTCACCAATGAGGTTGGGAGACTAGGTATGGATGGTGCTTTTTTTCACGTGAATAAACAGTGCACAGCCTGGCCCTCAATTAGGAGACACGTATCCGTCCTGCTGCTGTCAAAGTTGAGGAAACTAAGCCCACATTCTACATTTGTTTGGTTAGTGTGACGCAGTGTCTGAAACCAATGCTGCAAGCCACAAATGTGAGAGTTGGCAATTGCCAGCCCTGATGTGCACATAATAACAAACAAACTGGAGGAAACGAAAGGTAGTCTGTGGTCAGCCCCTGAACATTTTATTAATCTGGCACCGTACCTGTCCTGCATCCACCATTTCCCTTATTTCATCCAATGCTGGACCACTAGGTGCAAAGAATCCCCAGCGGTAGTGAACCCCCTTGGCCAGGTGCTGCAAGAAAAGAGAATAAGAGAAAAGACATAACGCAAAATTAAAACTTGAGGAGGTGTAAGAAAACAAGTTGTGTCAAACTGATCATGTCAATGCGGAACATCTAAATTATACTAGTTTATCAATAAACTTCCTATTCTCACCACTTAGTTTACAGGCTTGCTATTTCCCAGCATTCTACCTGACTTGATGATCTCAGTTCTCTTAGTTCCTCTCTAAAGGACACGTTAATAGTACTGATGACTGTAACCCTGGCTAGTGTACTTCCCTATTTGTGTCAAAGAATTGTGACTGACAGTTTAGAACTGTTTGTCTCCATAAATGTTTGTTAATCTTGCGTTATATATTGTATACGATTGTGTCCTTAAAAAAGTCATTATTATTATAGATAAAAATTACATTACACAACGTGCGCCTATATCCAAGGGTCTAATGTGTGTCAGGTGACTGGGTGGAGATAGATTTCCTTTAAGCCTTTAATAGCCGGGTAGGATTCCCTGCAACTCATGACAAAAGGAAAAACGAGTTGACTCAATCTTTTGTTATGTTTGCACCTGTGCACATGTGTGTGTGTGACCTCTGATATAAAGGAGTTACTTAATGTGTTTCCTTAAGGCTTATTTTGAAATGAGGGCACTGTGACAACCAAGCCAGCTGTGGGCGCTCAAGTTTTCCTTTTATGAACAAAGTACACAGTGTTTGTGTGTGTGTGTGTGTGTGTGCGTGTGTGTGTGTGTGCGTGTGTGTGTGTGTGTGTGTGTGTGTGTGTGTGGTGTGCACAGTATTTTCTGCTTCCTGTCTTTACGCTGTATATCCCTCTTCAATTTTTTTCATGTGTTTTTAGGCATCATCACTCTGCTTCGTCTTTCCACATCAGCTCTATGAGAGCACAGCGTGTCAGTTCTTACTGAAAACACAGTCATCAACACTGAAACAGTGCAAATGGAAATAGATACCTCTGCTGCGTCAGTCTGAATAATTTGTCTCAGATTGTAGTTGTGAGTGGAGGTATGGTGTGGGTGTTAATGAGAGACAATGCTGTTGTAAATTAGATCCTCCCTGTGGGAACGTACCTCTCCTTGTCGATCTTATGTTACATTTTCTGAAACACAAGGTGTGACCATAAAAAACTAAATCAGCTGAGCCCTTTACAATTCTACTGAGGGAGTTTAAAGTTCAAAAGAGGAAATGTGGGCCACATGACTGTTCATTCAATTTCTGTAAAAATAGAACTCAAATGAGCAGCCATGTTGCATCTCTAAGGCGCCAGGAAGGCATCAGACGACATGACACAATATCCTGTTACACACACAGCAAGAAGACGGGGAAAAGGGCTCAGGATCAGTAGAAGAGGGAGACAGAACTGGACACTTTCTTTATATGCTGGACAGGAAGTGAAGAAATTTAGTGACAAGTGAAGGAATACAGTAGTAAACAAATATGTGAATAAATGTTGTTGTGTGGAAAGCAACGAACACCCAACGCCCCCCGAAAGATCTGCATGTACAGTCTGTTTCATGTCATACCTCTTTCTGCCAACGCTGGGGGCAAACCTCTTAGTTTAACGTCACAGAACTCTGCTTTTGGCAAGAAAAAAAAAAAGAGAAAAGGGCGAGTCTCTCTGGGGCTGTCCCGGCTCGTTTTATAATCCTCCTTTTCTTAAGTTTCAAGTTCATGACTAATTCAAGTCTGGCGGCTCTGTGAGGTTGTACTTTAGAATAATGCTGCTTTGAGGTAAATGCTAACGTTTAACAGGTCATACTTATCATCTTCACCATCTTAGTTTGTATGGCAGCATGCTAACATTTGCTAATTAGCACTACATAAAAAGTATAACTTTGGCTAATGGAAATGTCATTAAAAACTAATTGTTCATAAACCATTCAAATCTGACCTTACAATGGCACTACAGGAAAAGTCAGTG